CTGGGGGGGGGGGGGGGGCCAGGCGGGGGTCACCACCACTCACCACGACTCGTAACTCCCCCGCTGGTGGTACAGGGATGCGCGCGAAGAGGCGGCGCTCAAGCTCGGCAAAGGTCTCGCACTCAACAGCCACGGGACAAACTGGACACGTTCGATCAGGCGGATCGATCAATTCACATGGAAATCTCTTTCGGGTCGCATAGCATCCAGAATGATTCAAGGATTCTTTTAAATGTAAATATGCCTCATGCGTAGTCCTGAATACCGTCGAGCAAATCAAACATCGGTTCGAGCGCGTGAGTAAGTGCAGAGCATGTGGTCGCCCATGTTCACCACCCAGCGCTGCAGCGCGCTGATATGCCTTAAAACCTTTCCGCGTCTTAGCTCGATGTTGGCACGTGGCGCCCCCCTCCATCTTCGACCCGCACGCGTGATCACCAAGACCCTCATCCCCGATGCGAGCAGCAGGCGGCGGCAGCAGCGGTGCAGTGGACGGCGGTGGGGCGGCGGCGCTCGAATGCTTCCTCAGCATTCGTCCCTCGTCGATGCTACTCAGGGCCTGGACAACGTCGCCCTGGAAAGCGCAGCTACCTTGCGGTCCTCCCGCAACTCGCTAAACGCCACCGCCTCCTCGTCCTCGGCCAAATCAAAAACAACAAAAACTGGCGGGCCCAAATATTCGCTTTCGGGCGCGCGTTGGTTTTGCCGCCCACGATCGTAGGCGGGGCGACGGGTAGTCCTAGACCTCCTAATGCATTGGCTTGGTCACGTTCGTGCTCGAACCTACGTCTGCCCAAGAGCGTATCCCGCCACTGTCGACACTGTTTTCGAAAACGCAGAGCACGTTTATACGGCGCTATACACCGAACCTTGAGGGCGAGGGAGACGGGGGGCAGATTCCAATAGTATGAATCGGCGGCGTGGATCATCGATTTTGGATTGGCCACTGGGGTCAATCCAAGAGGCTTGGTCCATCTTCATACATCTCAACTTGCGAACGGCAGTTCCGCCTAAACGATCCCCCCCCGTCAAAGCGCTAGCTTCGAGACCACTTAGACTGGCGTCGTGCACCGCTCCCAGGAAAAGTAAACGCTTGGAATCTTTGGGGATCTTCGGATTTTGCCAAGCCCCCGAATAAGCACACCCACCAATAGACATACTCTGGAGACGCTTGTCGACATCAGTAGTGTTAGTACATGCTGGGGTAGTCCATCCTCCATGCTGGCCTAATGTATGTAGTAAGACACATGGTAGTTGTGCGTGTTTGGCAATCTCATGTTCCTCCTTCGAGCGATTCTGCTTGAAGCCTCCTCGCCGGAGCCACTGGTCGAAAGCATCGCCCTCCGCATCTAGGAAGGCGTCCCAGGCGACAGTAGCATCACGCGAAACAGATCGCCGATATATCCGACAAGACTCGGATCAATGTCACCGAATATAGGAAAGTCACTGATAATCCATGGGGCCGAGGTCGTGGCCGCTCGAGCTCCTCGCCAGCGCTCAACCAGCGCGTAGTAATCTCCCATGGAAAGCTCGGGCTCGCTGCTGCATCCCATGGGTCCTCCGCTCCCCGCGCGCAGCCATGGGTCGTCGCCCAAAGCTCGCAGTCGTGCGCGGAGGGCGCCTCGCCGCTGACGAAAACGGGGTTGGAAGTGGAACGGTGCAAACTCGCTTATCTGATTGAAACGACGCGCGTGAGTGCCGCATGCAAAGGCGTTTGCCAGGTCGCGGCTCCGACACGCGCAGCTTTGTCTCGCCGGCTTAGTTCCCCCCCCCCAGAAAAAAAAGCACCCTGGGGATGGCGATCGCGGCCTCGCGCCGCCGGCGGGGCAGCCCCCCCCAGGCCCGCGGCGGCGGGCGGTGGGCGGCGCAGTCGCACGCGAGCAGCGCGCGGAATATGCATCGCCAGTAGCCGCACATGGCGTGGATGAGCCGGCAACGTCAGACCGAGGATCCCGCGGCCGTGATCTTTAGGTAATCGGGGGAGTGAGTCCTCGGGAGGGGGAGTGGGGTGAACGTCTTCGTCTTGGACAGCGTGCATCTTTCACTCTGGTTGGCCGCCTGAGGTGCCGCCCCCACTCGGCATACGTGCGCATGAATCCAAATAAGCCTGTTTGCGCCTTCCTAAGCATGCTCGGTACCCTCGAGTGGGAATAGACGTCGCCCTCGTGCTCGTAGTTCGTCGGTTGCATCTTCTCGGATTCGGCCGTCCTCAAACCGAATGCCTACAGGTACAAGGGCATCGCCAAGGCCTCCACTCGGACGAGCGGGGCGGGACAGGTAGGTGGGAACGGCGATCACGATGAACAGCTCTGTGGGGATACTCCATTCTGGTGCATATCTACGTCGCTGAGCCTTGTGTAGAAGGTGGAAGGAATTTTGCATTTGCTCACGCGCCTCATCGAATAGCGCCTGTGGGAACCCATCAGCTCCTGGTGCTTGACCATAGACCAGTCAGTGTCGGTGTCGAAGGTCACGTACGTCACCGGGAAATTTGTACTCCACAGGCGGGGCAGTGCGCGTGGCCAGAAAACCTTTCTCGGGCCCATCTTTCGATACAGCTTCATACCATTCCTCCTTCGAGGCATCGGTAAGCGCTCTTGCTATTCTGTGTCCCACTGCGTGGTCCTCCCGCCTCAGTGACTCCAGCAACGGTTATTGTCCAGTCGTCGTCTGCGTATCAGGGCGAGCTGGGCACTGAGACGTCTCAGCCGAAGCCAGATAGCACTACCCGGTAGAAGCGCATGATCTCTCCGTAGCTGTGATCGAACTCGCAGTAGTCAATCTGTTTGTTTGATAAGGTCCTGGGACTCGGGCGTCGTCGTGTACTGCCGCGCGAACAGAGGCACAGCTGCAGCACGGGCACACTTCATGAAGAGCGCGCAGTGCATGTCTGCGGTGCTAGTGATTTCCGCCACAGCGAAATCATTCTCATGTGCAATCAACTCCTCGCCCAACGCCGTCAGTAAAGGGCCCCTGTCTTCGCCCCGTTGTAATAAGGCGGCCACTCTGTCGAGATCCCATTTAGTACGTTCCTGCTGAAGGGGCGCTGTCGGAGTCTCGACGTAATGTGTGATGCCGACGGGCGTGTGGTCTGGAAACTTCTTCGGCACCTGCAGCTTGAGAGCCGTACGCTTCCATGTGTTGCGCGATGTGATCCCAGGCAGCAGCCAAATCGGGCCAATGATGAAATCCATGCGTGTCTTAGTGCCACGAGGCCCCTGATGTGTGTTGCCCGCGCTGAAGAAATGCGTTTTGAAGGCAGACAGGTTGTGCATTTTCAGCAGCTCGCGCAATATCGTACCACTCTGCCCTCGTGGTCTGGGTACGCGGGACCCAGTGCATCATCGGGGCCGTGGTGGTTGCCGAAGCCGTCATTCAAGTCAACGACAATGCACGGGGTGACCCTGGCTGGCGTATGCTGCAGCTCATACTCCATCCGCTGACATCATTTGTCGGACGTGATCCGCCAAGACGGATTGGCCTCAGGTGCCTTCGGGATCGTCGGGAGGTGCGCCAAAATGAAGTTGCACTGTAGTTTTCCTTGGGAATACGTCAATGCTCCTCCCCGTCCCTGAAGGCCCGCTGGTGGTTGTCAATTCGAGAAATATGTGATGTGCGAAATCTCGAACGTTTCAACAACAACGTAACTCCACAACTCTTGTTCGTGTGCGGCGACGTGTCCCATCCCCACTCTATGGCATGGTGATGACGCGTGAATGCTTCGTGTGCAGGTCAGCTTGTTGTCTCCTGATCGAGGTGCCGATGAGACCCACAACGTCAGCGGTCCTCAGGTTCGCTGAGATGTCGGCGAGGCGATCTGGCTTCGCGTGGGTTGGGTTGTTGTTCGAAAGCGTCAGTACTGCCCTCCGCATGGCCGCCATGGTCGGGGGGGCTCTGGAACGATAGACATCACCGCTCCGCGGCGGGAAACATCCCCAGGCCTGCCAGGGCGCCTTTGAGCCACCGTGGCCGTATCGGAGAATGAACCACTGGATAAGGAATCCAGGCTCTGGAAGCCAGCGGAACTCCAACCGTGGACCGACCATGGGCATCACTGCAGCCTTCAGCAAACAAGGAACCCTCCAGGGTCTGAAGCCCGCTGGGCACGTTCCTTATCGAATGCCCCCACCGTCCTCCTTCCCCCCGCCCCCCGCTTTCGCCCGACCCACTGGACCTCATCCGTGGTGCGCTCTGACCAGGGATTCGAAGCGAATCCAGCCGTGGCGACGGGAGCCTCCCAGGAAGCCCCAAAAAAATGGAAAAAACGAGAGGAAGGCCGCGGTATCGGTGCCTCTTCCTCCTCTGACCGATGCGCTCCCTTTCGCCAAACCCTTTTTCGGCGATAACCTGGGTTATCCGCTGGGTGGGGGCCGGAACCCTAACTTCTGCGCTTTGGGTGAGACCCCGCATGCCCGCGTGCACAAGCACTGCGCGCCCCCGTGGACATGCGCAACCTATATGTCACGTCATCCTGTGGGGGGGGAGCGGGCGGGCCGTGCAACCTGGGTTATCGCCAGTCTCCACAAAAAAAACGCTTCTCCCCAAATATCCGGCGCCTTGATATTTTCGTGACGCGGCCTCTCGACCTCTCGACCACTTCCCCGGGACCGGTTCTTCCTCCCGAGCCGTGTGCCGACGGCCCCGAGGCCCAGGAAGGGCCCCGCGAGGCCGAAAACGGTGGAACACCGCCGCCTCGAGCTTTCTCTCTGGAGCGCCGGGTGTCTGTTTGGATGCTCGAAATGGGTACGGAAAGAATGGGTACAATGCCCAACAACAAATCTTGTCCCAAACCACCAGCGGCCGCTGTTGGGCAGGCGGCCTTCTGTCTCGAATGGACACAGGCCGCGGCGACACCGACAGTGAGTCCTGTTCAAAGTGAACAGGAACTGCTGCTGGGCACTGTACCCATTCTTTCCGTACCCATCTCCGGCGTCCAGAGTCTGGGTCCCTGCTCCGCCCCCTTCGCCCGCGCGCCCGCCCCCCCCCCCTCGGCGAGCCACCGCCAGGCGCGGGCCGCCGGCGCCGGCCACGGCAGGCAGGAGCCCGGGCGTGCGCTCGGCCAGGCAGCCGTCCGCGGCCGCCGCGCCGCCTCTGCGCCGCCCGCGGCGGCCCCGCCGCCCTTGACGGCCCCGGGTCTCCGACGGTGGGATCTGCGGAGAGGCCTCCCTCCGCGCCCTCCCCACTCCTCCTCTCCCGCCGCCTCCCCCGTCCCCTCCTGCACACAAGCAGGTGTGCTCTCCTGTGTCGACTCCCCACTCCTCCTCCTCCTCCTCCTCCCTCCTCCTCCTCCTCCTGCGTCTGTTCCTCCTCCTCCTCCTCCTCCTTCTCCTCCTCCTCCTCCTTCTCCTCCTCCTGCGTCTATTCCTCCTCCTCTTCCTCCTCTTCTTCTTCCTCATCCTCCTCCTCCTGCTTCTATTCCTCCCTCCTCCCTCGTCACTCCGCGCCCTCCACCTCATCCGCGTCATTATCAGAAAGCTCTCGGCGACGCGCAGACCTTGGAAGCGGCCTCGATCTGGAATCCCGTCCGAATTCACTTGGCTGGTTTCGCTTTCGAATGCCCAGCCATACGGAGACTTCGAAAGCCTAGACGCATGCAAGCTTCGACAGCCTAGCCCTTTGCAGATTTTGGAGGTCCTCCCATCTGGGGTCCGAGAAGATGGGGTTGGAGGATTGCGCCACATCGCAGATGCACCGGCGATGTGGGCGATGCATCGGCGACATCGACGTGGAGGAAATCGGGCTCCACATCGAGCCGCAACGCCGATGCATCGGCGATGCGGTGCGATCCTCCGACCCCATCTGCTCTGACACCATCTGGGAGGCCTAGAGATATGTTTTTTTACATCCGGAGGCACTCCTATCGAAGATGAAGGGCCCACCATCGTAAATTCCCGAGTTGGTAACCAATGTCATGGCCAGCCGAGGATCCCACAAAGTCGGGGATTGGAGCCGCCGTGTCTGGAAATTCACCACGACCATCTGATTTGTTCAATCTGGCTGTTCTTCCATCAATGTCGGCCCCGACGATAAGATTTAATCAACCCGGGTGCCTTTCTGCAACTCGGCCCCGACGACGCGATTCTCTGCAATCTTGAAATTTTCCCTCGATTTCTCTGGGGGCCGCTACGCCACAAAACCAGGCTCGGGACGAACCTCTACGCCTGGGAGAAGGGGCTGGACTCGGGTCGGGCGAAAGGGGGGGATAGCAAAGGGGGGGTTTGAGAATCAGCTCACGTGCCTGATTTTCCCGGCGCCTCCCGGCGCCGGAGGCGGCTATGTATCGAGAAATGGGCCCCTCGGTGAGGCCGAAACCAGCTGCATGCAACAAATTTCGTAACCCCCCCTTTCCCAATCCCCCCCCTTTCGCCCGGCCCGATGGACCCCTTGGGGCCGCGGAGTGGCACAAATCGCACCCGCGGACGTCAGGGACGGAGGAGGGCCCAGCGCGACAACGCCGGCCCTCCCTGGCCTTCCTCGCCCTCTTTGGGCCCCCGGGCCCGAGAGGGCTCCCTGCCACCACGACGGCACCCGCCCCGAGAAGCGGGTCGGGATGGGCCCCGGGAGCGGGTCTGGGGATTTTTGGTATTGCCCAAACGTGGTAGTGACAACACCTGGCGGTGAGTCTCGGGCGATTTGATGTCACCACCCGGTTTGGGGACTCGTGCGGTTTTCCGAGGATGTCCCAGGAGTCACAAAACCCGGTGGTGACCCCGCGTCCCCAAACCCAGCGGTGACCTTTTGGGGGATTCCAGGTCGCCACCTGGTATCTCACCACCCGGTTTGGGGGTTCCCAAGATTTCTTTCGAGCGGGCTTCGGCCGGGAATACCGCCGTTGGCTCAACTGGCCCTTCTCCGAGCGACGGCGCCAGCAGGGGCACGTGCACCGACCACGACGACGCCGGCGGCGGCTTCGACAACCACTTCGGCCGACATCAAGGATGGCAGGTGTGTCGCCGACGACGCTGGCAACGTCGGCACCACGATTCGACACGATCAACAAAGCGCTCTGCTGGAGTTGGCCTTCGGATGGGGGGTCGGCATCAATGGCCAAGGCAGGTCTGTTGGGAGTGTTTGATGCCATCTGGGGTTACATATGCCCAACGGCACGTCATTGACAGACTTGCCTCGAGAAAGACAGCAAGCACCGCATTTAAGCTCAGCAGAGAAGTAGCACATCCCTCGGGGAGTAATTATTGCGTCCTTACGTCCGTGTCGAAACACGCAAGAATTGCAAAAGGAAGCGCCTCAATGAGTTGCTCGTCTGAACATGTAACATCAGCACGCTTGTGGGCGAGAGCAGAGGACGATGACGAATATTAGATGTGTTATCTTCTCGTTACCCTCTCTGAAATATTTTGATAATTTTGGTTATTTTATTTCTGCTCGCCTTACTCTATGCCCTCTTCTGCATTGCCCAGCACTGTTCACCCTGCGCTCTGCTCCATGCTCCCTACCCTCTACCATCCACTATATTTGACCATAGTGCTCTCTACATGCTATATTATTTACTCTGTCTGCTCTCTATCCCTCCTTTTTGTGTTTGCACTCTCTCTCTCTCTCTTTCTCGCTCTCTCCACCCCAACATCGAATCGATAAGTCGAGTCGGGACAACCCGAAGATCGAATCGGCAGAAGTCGACAGAAGTCGGCAACCGAATCGAAATCGACAGAAATTGGCAAGGCCGAGACGGATCGAATCGGAAACCGGATCGCGGCAAGCCGGATCGGAATCGACATCGGAAGGCCGGGAGGGTAAAGGAGAAAGTGGGCGAGGTGATTGGCCGTCCCATCCGCCCCTCCTTCTCCCGACTGTGGTCGCACGTCGTCGCACGTCGTCGTAGACGTGGTCGTATGTCGTCGTACGCGCGTCGTTGCATACAGGCCTTGGAGCCCCCTTCGGGCCCCAAGGGGGCCCAGTCCCCCTCCGGCCTACCCCGATATACATATATAATTATATATATACACTTACGCACATTATATATAACTTTTGTGCGTCAAGGCTACCATGGCATGGCAACCCAGCGCCACGTCTCTCGAGCCACTAACATCAAACTTGCATGTGCACATGCACACACGCACACTCCCACTGCAATCGCACGGGGAGCAATCTGAGCCACCACCATCAAAAGCACACGCGCATGGCTACAACAAACACCATGATTGAGTTTTAGATCGGCAAACCGAGGAGGAAAGCATACGCTGAGAAACAACTCGGGGCACTGTGGGAGAACTCAAGGCAACCAGGAGGCACAACCCGCAGGAACAACAGGAGGAGGAATTTAATCGAGTGGACGAGGACATGTAAGCATGTTGGAGAAGGGGCAACATGGGAGAAACAACATCGGCCAGCAGCTCCATGCCAGAAGTGGGGGCCCTGGCGGCGGCGGTGGTTGATCTAGCGGCGCCGGCAGCCTTCGTCCTTGGACGGATCCACTTCCACCAAAGCGTCCGAGAGGGCCTGCGTAGGCCAGGGGCCGTGGCGGCCACAGAGAACGGGGGGGACAGGGGAAGGACAGGAGGAGGAGGAGGAGAAGGAGGGGGAGGGGGGAGAGGTGGGATGAGCAAGCTAAGTGCGCTCGGGCCATGCTGACACCATACCAATCCCACCAATCCATTCCCATTGCACTTTTCTTCCTCTATCCGCATACGCGTGTCATGACGGACCTGGAACGCCAAAAAGGACCCCACTGTGACAAGCGCAATCAAAATGGGGCTGCGTCCCTAGGAGAAGGAGGAGGCGGATAAGCAGGAGGATGATCAGGAGGAAAGGGAGGAGGATGAGGAAGGAAGAGGACGAGGACGAACACCAGCAGCAGGAGCTGGGGTAGAAAGAGAGCCAGGGGAAGGCGGAGGAGGGGAAACAAGGGGGCGACAACGGTGAGAAAGGGCTCGGATCCAGAAAAATGGCCCGCGCTGGGGCGAGCGCGCCAGTCTGAACGACGGACACGAGGCACACGCTGCAGCGGGAACACTATTTTGAAACACCGCACCCACTCGGATTGAGAAACATAGGATATCAAACCAACAGCTTTTGACACCATGTGTAAAACAACCACGCGTAGAGGTCCGAATATCTTCCAGGCAGAATCAAGGGAGAGAGGAGAGTACTCATAATGTGTACCTGTAGAGGAGGGAGGAAAGAGAGCGAGGACAAGCGGCAACGGGACAAGAGGCGGGAAGGGGAGTTGCCGGGGGAACGGGAGAGCCGCCTCGTTCGCACAAAGAGTTCGTGGGCGGAGGATCAATTATAATTCTTTGCGCTGGCGCCTCGAGGGTCATCCCTCTCCTACTCCTGCTCCTCCCACGCGCGCGGGTTCAGCAAGGCATGGGGGGTGCAACGCCCGACTGGTCTGACTGCTGCTCCGGGGGGGCCTGTGCTGCGGGGGAGGCGGCATCAGCGCTCCACGAGGTGCTGTTTCCGATCCTCGCAGGGCGGGCCTCTCCTTCGGATGGGGCGTCCCTCGACATCTTCACAGGTCACACGCGTCCGCCACCAGCACGGGCGTGGGGCCGTCCGCCTGTGCGGGCATCCCTCCGCAACCGGGGGTTGGCAACAGCGGGGGTTCACGTGCGCGGGGATGTTTGTTCTTGCCACCGGTGGGGCAATGCCCGAACACGGAGTGAAAGGAATGGAAGAGGAAGAGAACGAGAGAGAGAGAGAGGGAGAGAGAGAGAGAGCGAGAGAGGTGACCCTATAGAATCATAACATATCAAGCGCACGCGTTCCATTCCCTTGTACCCGGATTATGCTCGTGCTCGCGCTGCCCGCATCCCGGCGCCCGCAACACCTGCCCCGCCTGCACCCGAGGGATAACTTCCTTCCCCGCCTCCAGGCTCGTGCGACCCCCTTCTGATGGGGAACATTGCGCGCGTCTTTTCTGCGGGGGTCTCGATCCTGGACGGGTTGGCGGGGGTCTCACCCCCCGACTGGTCCTGCGCCTCGCGGTGCGACGGGGGACTGCGCGTCGACGGGAGCCTCGCTCCGCGGTTGGTCGGAAGCCTCGAACCGCGACGAAGGTGGCGCCTCGCTGCGCGACTGGGCACTGCGCGCGCGGGCGGGGGCACTTGCGCGCGCGCGCGTGGGTGACGCACCTGCGCATCGTCGGCGGGGGTCTCGCTGCGCGTCTGGGCGCGCGCCTCGCTGCGCGACCGAGCACCGTCCGCGCGCGAGGGAGTCGCCCGAGGGCCGGCGCGTCGCATCGCCAGGCCTCGGCCCACTGGAGGGCAGAGCCAAACGCGGAACGACAAAGACAAAACCCCATACGACCAGCTTCCGGGGGATCCACGACATCGCCTAGAAAAATCGGAGGTTGGGGGTGAGATCGCAATATAACGGAGACCCCAAACCGGGAAATCGTGTCGTTTCGTTCGTGTCGTGCGTGCGAGGCGAATCTGCGCAGGCGCTCGAGAAGAATGAACCCGCCGTTGCTAAGGCGAAGTCTAAACAAATGATTATCCCCCGCCCGTCCGGCGGTAGCTCGCGGTGTCCCGTGGTGTCCCGTGGTATCCCGTGGTGTCCGCCGTTGCTGGGGCGAAATCAAAACAAATGATTATCCCCCCCCCGCCCGTCCGGCGGTTGCTCGCGGTGTCCCGCGATGTCCCGTGGTGTCCCGTGGTGTCCCGTGGTGTCCCGTGGTGTCCCGTTGAGTGGGATCGGTAGTGAAATCGATGATAAGATCCATAGTGGGAGCGATACTGAGATCGATGTGGTGCCCCGAGGTGTACCGTGGTGTCCCCAAAAGTGAAATCGATAGCGGGATCAACACTGAAATCGACAAGTGTCCCGTGGTGTCCCGTTGAGTGTGAGCGATCGTGAGATCGATACTGAAATCGATATTGTGCCCCGAGGTGTCCCGAGGTGTCCCGTGGTGTCCACAAAAAGTGAGGTCGATAGTGAGAACGATAGTGAGATCGAGAGGTGTCCCGCGGTGTCCCGTGGAGTGAGATCGATAGTGAGATCGATGGTGATATTTATAATGAAACCGATGTGGTGTCCCGAGGTGTCCCGTGGTGTCCCGTTGAATAAAATCGATAGTGAGATCGATAGTGCGACCGATAATGAAATCGAGAGGTGTCCCGCGGTGTCCCGTGGTGTCCCGTTGACTAAGACCGATAGTGCGACCGATAGTGAGGTCGACAATTGTCCCGTGGTGTTCCGTGGTGTCCCGTTGAGAGAGATCGATAGTGATATCGATTGAATCAGATGTCGGTTTCCCCCCAAAACAATTTCCTTATCACCCGAAGGGTGGCCGTATAGGTAATGATATCCTTCTTTCCGTTTTCCTTCGGGCTCCAAAAGGAAATCCTGCAGGATGCCGTGGGTCCCTCAGGACGCCGACAAAACCAATTCCTGAGGACATCAGCAGAGTGCTCGCGAAAACCTCTGGAGTCAATCGGGGGGCTTCGGCTTCATGAAGGAAGATTCTCTGCGGGTGCTGAAGATTCCCTCTGGGATCATCAGGGGCCTACCCGATCGTGTTGGTGAAAGTGCAGTCTGAACAAATTTTTCTTTGGGGGGCTCCTGAAGAACACGGATGCCTCAGGAAATCCGCGGGAGCGTGGACATCCACAGGAGGGAGAGAACTCGTTTCACGGGCTCTCGCTTTGGGAACATTCGGCGGCGCGTTTCGAACTGGGGTGTGTTCCCTCTCCCCAACAATCGGCGCCGTCGATCAAAACCAGGGGGACTCCCCTCCCCTCACCCCCCCCACCTCACGACCCCCCCCCCCTACCTCTTCTCTCTCTCCCTCTCCTCGGCTGGCGCCGGCGGCGGCGGGGACGACGATTTCCTTTTCTGGGCCGGCGCCATCGCCTGCGGCGGCGGGCGGCGGCGGCGGGGAGCGTCGACGAGGACGACGGTGGTGGTGGTGGTGGGTTGTGGTGGTGGTGGTGGTGGTGGTGGCGGTGGTGGTGGTTGTGGTGGTGGTGGTGTGGTGGTTTGTTGTGGTGGTGGTGGTTGTGGTGGTGGGTGGTGGTGGTGGTGTGGTGGTGGTGTGGTTGTGGTTTGTGGTGGTGGTGGTGGTGGTGGCTGTGGTGGTGGTGGTGGTGGTTTGTGGTGGTTGTTTGTAGTGGTGGTGGTTTGTGGTGATGGTGGTGGGTTGTGGTGGGTTGTGGTGGTGGCGGTGGTTTGTGGAGGTGGTGCTGGTGGTGCTGGTGGTGGTGGCGGTGGTGGTGGTGTGGTGGTTTGTGGTGGTGGTGGGTTGTGCTGCTGGTAGTGGTGGTGGTGGTGCTGGTGGCGATGGTGGTGGCGTGGTAGATTGTGGTGGTGGTGGTGGTAGTGTTGGTGGGTTTGTGTGGTGGTGGTGGTGGTGGTGATGGTGAATTGTGGTGGTGGTGGTTGTGGTGGTGGTGGTGGTGGCTGTGGTGGTGGTGGTGGTGGTTGTGTGGTGGGTTGGTGGTGGTGGTGGTGGTGGGTTGGCGGTGGTGGTGGTGGTAGTGGCGGTGGGACCCCCCCCCCTGGGAACATTCGGCGGCGCGTTTCAAACCGGGAGGTGGGCCCCCCCCCAATGCTCGGCGCCGTCGATCAAAACCAAAGGGACTCCCCTCCCCCCCAGACCCCCCCCCCTTCCCGAACCCCCCGCCGCCCCTCCCAAGGGGGGGAAGGTTCAACCCCCTCCCCCCCTGGCGCCAGCGCCGGCGGCCGCCAGCAGCGCAGACGGCAGGGACGCAGCGACGATGACCAGAGGCAGCCCAACGGGGGGGGGTTCAACTACCCCCCCCCCTCCTTGGCGCCGACGCACGGGGAGGGGGATTGTTCACCCCCCGCCCCCCGTTCGGGCGCCGGCGCAGCGACGATAACCACCACTACCACCACCACCACCACACAGCCACCACCACCACCACCACCCCACCGCCTCAACCCACTACCACCACTACCACCAACCCACCACACAACCACACCACCACCACACAGCCACCACCACCACCACAACCACCACCATCACAACTCACCATCACCACCACTACCACAAAAACCCACCACCACCACCACCACCACCACAATCTACCACGCCACCACCACTACCGCCACAACCACAACCACTACCACCAGCACAACCCACCACCACCACCACCCACCACCACAACCACCACCACACAACCACCACACCACCACCACCACCACCACCACCGCCACCACCACCACCACCACCAGCACCACCTCCACAAACCACCGCCACCACCACAACCCACCACCACCACCACCACTAGAAACCACCACCACCACAGCCACCACCACCACCACCACTACCAGCAACACAACCCACCACCACCACCACCACCACAAACCACCACAAACCACCACACCACCACCACTCTCCCTATGCCCTCCTTGCCGCCCCCGCTCGTTCTGTCAGTCTTTTCGTCCCTCGCCATACTCCTCCTCGCTGTATTGCCTCTATCATTCTCTCCATTCCTCTTACTTGCCCCGGTGCCCCTTCCTTTTTCTACTCCCTGCCATACTCTGCCATCCCACTCTCCCCCATCACCCTCCATCCCTTCCTGGCGCATCGTCCCTACGCCTTCCCTCCGCCCGCTCCCTGCGCATACCCTCCTTCCGTCCGTCCCAGCGCTCTCTCGCAACGCGTCCGCCCACACACCCCATCCTTGCGGGGCAGCCTGCCGGAGGTCGTTGATGAGCTCCAGGTCCTCGAGCAAGAGCACCTGGGGGGCGGCGGGCTGGCCAGGCCCAGGGGCCTGTCAATCGGCAAGATACCAAAGATGACTTCGCAAGTCCTCGGCGCCCGAGACATCCTCGACGGCGGCGGCGCACGCGCGCGCGCACCCACGCACAAAGTTTAGTAACCAACAGATATGGAACACAGTGGCACGACGCGACAGACGAGCGACGGACGACAGGCGAACAACGGGAGGCGGCGTGGGGGAAGGGAAGGGGCGGGGGGGAAGGCCCGCGTGGGGCGCCCGCGCTCGGCGCGGCCCCGCACTGATCCAAGGCGCCGCGGCGGCGTTCGGCTGTCTCGGCGGCGCCGATGCCAGCCGCCACGTGGCCCATAAGTTCCGCGAGCTCCGGGCCTCGGAGGCGGCCCAACGCGGCGTTCAGCCGCCGCCGCAGCTGCCGCGCACGCACGCGCGCGAGAGGTCACCGAACAGTACCAGGACAATTGGCTTGCGAAACACAAGCCGGGGCGATGCTTGACTGAAATGCATCGACCCGCCTGCCCGCGCCATCCCCAATTCTCCCAGGTCAGGTACGTAGGTGCCCGCGCCGCAGGGTCGCCACTGGGGGTGCCAGAAAGCAGTTGCAAACGCCCCCCAGGCGCTGGCTGTCTGCGTCGAGACGCGCAACTGAAGGACCTCCTCCTCGCAGACCTCCGCCGCCCCTCCTCATGGCACATATTGCGACGTGCCAGCTTTCCATCGTCAACTTGGCGTGTCTCTGGGTGCCTCCTGCAAGTGCAGCTCGGGGGGGCGCGCCCCTTGTCGCGCGGAACCATTCAAGTGTTGGCGAGGCTTCTCCAGCACGCGTCTCCCCATAGGCCTCGCTATCAGCGCGGCCGCGCCGGGTCGGGCGGGAGCTTGCGGGCGCGGCGGCGGAGCCGGCGTCGCGGATGTCCTGGGGAAGCTTGATGAAGTAGGTCCTCGTCGCCACCGCCAGCCGAGCGGCTGAATATGCGATGGCTTTCTCGCCGCCATGCTCTGCGCTCAAGCGTGGCAGCGCGAGACGAACCGCGAGCTCGCCGCTGAGCACCCCGCGATGGGCCGCGAGGTGGCGACATCTTGGGGCAGACGAGGTGGCGCTGGATGGCGTCGTCGCCAGCGCAGCCGAAGTCGCAGGCGCGGCGGGGCGACGTGCGTCCGCGCTGCAGTCGCCCAGGCCCCGGCGAGGGCTTTCAGCGCGGCCCGCGTGCGCGCGGGCGCTAGCGCCGCCAAAAGCACGCGGGGGCGAAGCCAGCGATAGGGAAGATCTCCAGGAAGTTGCTCCAATTTCACGCGGTCTGGCGCGTCTACGTCAGCACCGGGGTCTCGGCCGCCGTCGGGGGGTGGCCGCGTTGGTGGCCGGGCAACCAGCGGCGGCGAGCGCGGCGTTCAACCGCGGCGTTCAACCGTGGCATGTCTGCGGAGAACTGAGCTGCTTGCTGTCGAGCGCAGCGAGAGTCATCGCCCACGTGTCCGAGAAGAGCAAATTCGAGTGCGCGCCTTCCCGCGTTCGAAGAGTTCCACGCGTCGCGGCAGATCGCCGCGGCGACCCGCGCGCGCTGGACACGCGGCCCTGCAGGACGTTGGAGAGTGCCGGGCCGCCCAGTTCGCCTCGCCATTGATGGGGCGATCTCGAAGGAAGCGTCAGGTAGCCAATGGGACGCCCAATGGGCAGCTCGGTCACGAAGACATTCGCGCGCCAGCGACGCTCGGCGCGTCGCTGGGCCATCGCGAAGGACGGGGGCCAGGCGACGTTCGCTTCTGGATCGCGGTGTGGAAGACGTCGTGATGAAGCCTGTCTTGTTTGGGCGCCCGAGTTATCCGGGGTAACTCTGGGTTTTTGGATTCCCGAAAAAGGAACCCGAGTTAGCCCTGACCCGAGTTACCCCTGATGATTCGGGGCTCTGGACGCCCGAGTTATCCGGGGTAACTCGGGTCCGGGGTAAGTCGGGTTCGGAATCCCGAAAAAGGAACCCGAGTTATCCCTGACCCGAGTTACCCCTGATGATTCGGGGCTCTGACTTGTAGCACAACTTGATGCACTCTCAGAAAGGGGCTCGCTGCGCTGATGCCCCGCCGCTGCCGCCGACGTTTTGTTCTGGAGCAGTGCAGCCGTGCCACGGCGAGCGCATCGTGCTCGCGGGCGGCCGCGAGAGCACCCCGCGCGCGCGGGAGGAGGAGGAGGAGGAGGAGGAGGAGGAGGAGGAGGAGGAGGAGGAGGAGGAGGAGGAGGAGCAGGGCCCTGCGCGAAGAAGGCGGGGCCGAAGACCGCGGCAACGCGCAGCGGGAGGGAGGATCCGCCCAGGACGGCGAGCGCCAGTGGCCCCTCGCGGCGCTGGCGATGTCCGAGTGGTCGAAGGCGCCCGCGCGAAGCTCGACGTGCCAGAAGATCCAATTCGGGGCGGTCTCGCTGGCGGTTGCACCGCGCGTTTGCAGCCGTCGGCGTAGCCATGTCGTTCTGAACTCCTATGTTGGCCCAGCGGCCCGTGCCGGAGATGTCGGACGCGGCGAAGCTGTTCGGCGCCGCTCTCAGCAGCGCGCGGGCGGCCCGGCGCTACTTCGCGGGGGTGGTCCGGGGGGGGGGTCGCGCAGCTGGCCCGCGTAGGACAGGCGGGAGACAGCGGCGACGTCGTAGATGCGTTGTTGCGAGGGGGCTCGGGAGACCGCGAGCTTCGGGACGCGGCCCCCCCCGCTTGGAAGCGGGGCCGCGCCGTTGATCGCGCTAGTCAGCGCTGGCGCTAGCTCCCCCCCGCCATCCCCCTCTTCTGCTTCTCCTTCCTGCTCCAGGAGGAAGGGAAGGAGCACGAGAGAGGAAAACGAAAACGGAACTGGGAGGTTTCGGTTGTTGCGGATTCCGGGGGGGTCTGACAGGCACTCCCCTCCTCATAATTCGCTCATCGTCATCATCCTTACCATTCCTCTCTCCTCAGCCTGCCCCTGCCCCTTCCGCATATTCCTGAGCCGTTTTTTTGTTCTTCCTCCTCCTCCTCCTCCTCCTCCTCCTCCTCCTCCTCGATCCGATCCCCCCCTCACTGCCCCTCCTAACCCCGACCCCTCCTGATGCAGCCTTCCTGCGCCCTCTTTGCTCCTCATGGTCCTCCTCCTCCTCCCCTCATCATCTTTCCTCCGTCCATGATCCTACCTCCTCGCGGCCACGAGCGGCTCGCTGACCCGGGTCAGCCGGAGGGGGTCTTCGCAGGATCCTGCAAGATCTGGCGCTCTGGCTGACCCCCGTTTGCATGGACCCCCGTCTCAAGGCTCCCGAAGCTGGTCCTGGGGGAAGGCCCCGGCGCACTCGACACTGCGGCCTGGAGCCCTCTCCCAACCCGCGAAGACCAAACTCTCTGAAAAACGGTTCTCGGCCATGAGCCAGGCGCTCATGATCTTGCTTCCATGTTGCGCGGGATCTGAGACAGAGCTCCAGAAATAGAGTGTCTCGACGTACCGTGTGTGTTTGTGTGTATGTTGAGTACATGCCACTGCTTCGGCAAAAAATGTGCTTCGCATCCGCGAACAGCTTATGCAGGCAAACATGCGCCACTGCAAGGAGCAATCCGACTGTCATAAAGTAACCCTCTGGTTGGCCCAAACTTCTTAGTAAACAGATCGGCAAACTGATGTGTTCACAAAGTCCGGAACGGCTGCGAGAGCAACCTTAGAGAAAGCAAGCTTGGCGACATGCAGAACACTTAGCCTACCTTGAAATAGCGAGTCGAAGCTCATGGGGATAAGGTAAGAAAACAAAAACATTCAATACTGCTTACGGCTTGGGACACACACTGTGAACTACACCGTCCACCGGCGAATTCGGTAGGAATAGTTGATCAGTCCCTCCTGGTGACCTAGTCCTCGGCCTTTCAAAATGCCACAAGACGCCACAGCCTCGCCCGATGATCTGCAGTCTCAGCTGTGCCGGACCGCACGGTATACACGACTGGATGAAATAAACCAGGGCCTGTACTGTAGTGTCCGTCTGATCACTGGGCCAATGACGCCACCTAGTTGGTGGTGATGATGATGCAGGTGCTGACGAAGGTGGTGACGTTGGTGATGGTGATGCAAGTGGTGGTGGTGATGATAGTAATGCTCACGATGGTAGCGATGGCAATGACGAGTACAATCGCGGCTCCGTCTGAAGTTGCCTAAAAGCTGCAGCAATCGACACGCCAAACGCGTGCCAACCAACAATCAATACGACCAAACATAGGGCCATTCTGGGCCGTCTGATGGAGACACGTGTGGGACGCCCAGAGAATGGACACACAGACGCACACCGATTATGCCCTACGCCAACCTTGGTGCTTTCACTGCGCCCGTCCTGACTTGGCAAGACAATGCCAGGAACCTATAAATCGAAACGGATGCAGAGAAGCATCGACCTCCAACTCCCCGAGAAGAACCCCACACGATCGATGTCCGATGCTTTGGCCGGGGCGCATCTGGGGAAACTGGGGGCCTCCATGTGAGCCACCTGGACAATATGAGTGGCCTGGGGCGTTCGGGGAGAAACGCCGCGGACCACGCAATGGAGCTCAAATCGCCAGGAACCGTGAAGGGGGGTTGGGGTCGGTCAGGCCCGAGGATTACAGCGGGCGAACCAGGCAGGTCTTTGGGAACCTCCGGAGGGGACGGGGGATTCTGACACACTCTGTGTAAAGTTGTGTCCCCGCGTCCGGAGGATACGCTGGGCCAGTCCCGGATGGCATCGTCTGTGTAACGGGCTCAGCCTAGACTGCTCACTGCTAGTCCTACATGTTGGCCACCTTCATGTCCAGCATCTTGGTCACCATTTGAGCCGCCGAGCTCGCTTTCCTCAGAGCCTGTTTCACCTTACGGATGGACTCGGGGGCCATGCCCTCCTTCAACATCTCTCCTTCCGCGCGGTCGAGATCCTCGAGATCCTGCTCGAGCACGTGGGCCTGTTGGCTCAGCGTCCTCGTGCGGAACTCCTTCTGCAAGGCCAGCATCCTCTGGCCCGCCAGCGTGATGTCGCCCTGGGCGTCCACGAGCGCAGCCTCCTGTACCTTCTCCGCGGCCAGTTCTTCGATCTGTTCCTGGAGGTCTTCGGCCTTCTCAGCCGCGGCGTCTAGGATCCCCTTCCTGCCGTTCTCGGCCATCCAGGTGGGCACGTCCTCCCCGAGGGCCTTGAGGTTCGCGCTCTTGCACGCGGCCCATCGGTTTGCCCACTTGGCGTCCTCTGCCACGAGGTCCTCGATCCACCGGGGTGTCTCCTTGCCCTCCGCCTTCAAGCGCTTGGCCTCCAGCACGGCCCACCTGGACTTGCCCTTCTTCTCGTCGTCGGACACCATCTTGTCCATCCACTCCGGAACCGTCGCGTTCTCTTCGGCCATCTGCTTCACCATCTTCTTGGCCCACAGGAGCGTGTTGTGCTGCTGCATGCGCTCCCTCCTCTGCGACCACGTCAGCTGGGTCTCGTTCTTGCACCACGTCGGGGCGTCGTCGGGCAGCAGGCCGAAGCTGCCCTCTACAAAAGACTCGTGGACAAAGGCCTCCTCGCCGGACGCCGAGACGCTGGCCGCGGACTGCACGAGAGAGGCCTCATCCACCTCCTGCCAAGCAGCCGTGCCGCATGCCAGAAGGGCAAGTATGCACACCCGAGATGAAGCCATGGCGGATCCAATACAGTTCAAACGGACACGATAGAAACGAACTCGTCTCGAAAATGCTTGTGACGGGCATGACGGCAGCCACGACAACAATACTAGTTGTATGCAAGACCTGTCGCGCTTTCACATGCGCAACTACCCCCACCTTGTAAACCGCATGCGAAATCATTGGGGGGGGGCATTCGTCATGATGCGTGTGGTGTCAAATGCTATTGCTGTTGATGCTTAAAGACGATCATGCTGGCCCGGGCATGTTGTCGAGATCTTGCCCTCCTTGGAACAAAGCCTGCTACCTTCAACGGAATCGACAGCTCTCAGCGAGCGCGAATTCGCCACACCAAGCTGGGAGATTTGTTCGCATCCGGGCGGCCCCACGGGGACAGGTGAGGTGTTCACCATTCGCGGTGTGCAGACAACAAGGTTGCAGTGGGGCGGCCCCTGAGCAGGCACCGTGTGGCTGGGTGAGGTGGTGGCGCGCAAGGGCGCGCAGGCGACGATCTGGATTTGAGGCACCCTGACTAACTCCTGACGGATCCTGAGACATCACCTAGACACCTACGGAACCCAGGGATACGGAGGAACACCGAAGAAATCCAAACAGATCCGAGGCATTCTGCCGACTCCTGACGGCTTCTTGGCTCGCTGAGGGATTTTGAAGAATCCTGGTGGATCCTGAACGCCCCAAGGTGATTCCGAAGGGTGCGGAGTGGTGGCCTCGGGAGCGCGCTTCAACTGAAATCTGCCAGAGGTCGCGGCCTCGGGAGCGCACACGCCTCGCTCTTGCCGAGGGCTTGAGGCTTCGAATCCAGCACCGGATTTCCATGATACGGCAGGGCAGCCGAAAAGCGCCCCCCCGAACGCGCAACCCAAGGCAGAACAGCAGCGTTTTCCTGCTCTGGCCATGGAGCATGGGGGGGGGGGGCGCTTTTGTGCAGCCTCCGTTGGTGGATTCGTAGCCTCGGGGGCGAGACATCGTCGCAATGTGCGATGGGTTGTGGCCTCGGGGGCGCGGGAGTGCGTTGCAATTTGCGAGGGACTGTAGCTTCGGGAACACGACTGAGTTGTTATTCACAACGGGGTGTGGACTCGGAAGCGCGACAAC